AGAAATCGTGAGATGCGGTCTGGTGTGATGTAGGTTTCAGAAAAACATTTTCTTTATCGTGCCAACGTTTCGATCTTTATTGAGATCATCTTCAGGTATGTTATTGGAATGTTCGTTATACCGAAGTTCGGATTAAGGAGAGGGAACTGTAAACAATCATTGATGACATGTTCAGTCAGACGCTCTTACTTATGTAGGCCCGCCTCTTCTGAAAGAGTGTTCGACCGGTGGTCAACTTGAAACAATATATAAATTAGAATTTTTGAACGCTCCTTCTTCATTACTTCAACCCTTGACCTTTTAAACAAGGAAAATTAAATGGACAAGAAAAATAAAATTCTAAACTGATAATAATGGCGTCCAATTATATTTAAAAGCACTTTAAATGCCATCTAGTTTCTAGCGAACTGTGATTAATTGCTTTCATCCCAAGGAGAAGTTAAACGAACCAAGTCGGACTTCGTGAGCCGAGTCTTTAAAATCATTAACAATCCAACAATTGTGGATTTAGTACGCCGCGCTTGCAAAGTCTTCAGACGTTTTCTGTTCACGGTGTGGTTTCTACTTAACGAAAAGGTCAGATTTGTTCAAAACGTTGACTTTGTTCAATGACTGTTTAAGGCTTTAAAATATCTATAAAAGGGTTGGATTAAGGACACGATTACATGTTATTACTACTTCTTTATTTAATTTCTATTAACGACCTCTCTTCAATTTTGAAATTTTTTAAAGGAAAAACGTTTTTCTTTACTTTGTGTGTTGAACTTACAAAGGCTAAAATTAATTTCAAATTTTGTTAATTGATAAAATAAAATTAGATTTTTTTTATTTGGAGAACGTGAGATGCGGTCTGGTGTGACGTAGGTTTTAGAAAAACATTTTCTTTATCGTGCCAACGTTTCGATCTTTATTGAGATCATCTTCAGGGCTCAGTTTGTTTTCCGTCATCTGTCATACTTGTCTGCCGGGTTGAGAGTGTATTTTAAATATTATGGGATTGTGATTTAGTTGTTGGTTTTTTTTTTTTGGGGGGGGGGATTTGCAACAAGAGGTCTTTTTTCATCAACCCAGGAGTGCCGGTGTTTTTGAAAAAAAAAAAAGGCCATTTATAGTACGTTGGGTTAGGGCCACTGGGTTTCGAACTCGGACCCTTACAGCGATGAGTCGCCGTGTATAGTGTATATATATANTTTTCTTTATCGTGCCAACGTTTCGATCTTTATTGAGATCATCTTCAGGGCTCAAAGTGTTTGTTTTCTGTGCAGATGTGTCATTCTTGTGTGTCGTGTCCCAAGATTTTTAGATTTTTTTATTTCATTGCTTCTTTAGATTTCGTCCCTACAGGCGTTCTTATATTACTTTCATCTCCAATGGACGAAAATAACGAGTAATTTCAAATTACAAACATGCTACTTCAGGGATGGTCTTAAAGATTCTTAAAGATCTTAAAGATTAAATTAAAGAAATTTTTCAAATGTCGTGTAATCTATTTGATTCTCGGCGACAAATGAAAATTGAAAAATGGCAAAAAGGAGGGAAAATTCAAAAGGTGGGGTTGAGATGGGAAGTGTCCGAATGCATCGAAGTCACGATAGCTCAAGTGGTAGAGTAGAGGCGTATCTAGCCGAAGATCGTGGGTTCGAATCCCGCTCGTGACACTGACTTTTTATCTCATAAAAAAAACCTTAATTAATTAATTTACAATGTTTCTTTATGTATTTACATTGCAGCACTTTGTCCTCACATTTGTTGCAATATAAATTTGTAATGCAGACATTTGACATTAAAAGACACCATGCATGCCAGAAGAAAACTTATTCTAGCGTTTTTTTTTCTTTCTTCGATCCTGTTCAATTTATCCTTGGAAAGGAAACGCGTTCTAGAGATTGCTAAACGCCTACATACTTTGATCATCTATAGAAATTTCCTAGGCTACGAAAAATTCGCCTTCTGAATAATTCTGAAGATTGTGTTCATTTCGCGTTTCACTTGAAGGTTCCTGAAGATTTCCTTCCACAAGAACTGCCATTTGTATATTAAAAAAAAATATATATATAAAAATGTACCCATCTACGCTTTGAGTTAGTATCTGACATCTGACGCATAGGATAAAAGGGTGAAAATCTATTGATTGAAACTTTTGTCCACATACCTTCGTTGAAGCGTAGGTAAACATGAAGAACGTTTTCATGGTGTAACAGATCCGAACGATACAAGCGGCAAGTAGAAGAGCGTGGAACGGACTCAGTCCAGTAACCCCATCAACCAGCCCCTCTACTTCACCTCACAGGCTATTTCACTCCCACCACGAGTCTAAGACCATTTATCAAAATATCTACCTGCCTTTGATCATTGTTTCTTTCCTACCATCTCAGATTCTATGAACCCTATTTGTAATAATGTTACCACGGATGGACGTAAAACTTACACAGAGGGTGAATGTCTTTGTTGATGTGTCACATATTTCTTCACTGAGTGGCACAAAATAAGCACTAGGAAAAAACTTGCCTGGACGATATTGGCTGATAATGATCATTTATGATCATTATTATTGCTCGCATATAACAAGGCAGCTACTTCAAAATTTCGACAAGACGATGCCATCCAGTTATTGGACGGTTGTACAGCATCATAGTTGTTTGATGAAATTTTCCCAGGTTCACGAAAAAACTAACACATTTAGACATTCATGTTTCAATTTACAAATGCTTATACAATTTTATATCAAAATATTATAAAAGATTACTCATTATAAATAAAACAGTCATCTAATTATGACCTTATCAGACATGACCAGTGCATTCTACAACTCTAGTTGTCTCATCCCTGATGGTAGTTTTATGTAAAATTGTATTGTTCAAGGGTGATCTCGTTGAAATCTTATGGCCAAAAATGTTCAACATTAGCTATACCATATCTTGTAGGAAAATAGTGGTCAATAAAAAAAGAAAACATGAATTCAATACAACTTTCACTATATCTTAAGACGAAATATTTCTGAACAATGATAATAATTAATTAATAACAATGAATAATTAATTAATTACAATGATTAATTAATAACAATGATAATAATTAATTTCCATCAATCCTTTCTTTAAAAAAAAACGTTAAATTTTAAAAAATTCAGCCTTTAGATCATATAAATAGTACTAATTAAAATTAAAAATTATATATTGCTTTTGGTTGTTGAAATGTAAGCACGAACAGTAAAATTTCTGCATTTGAAAAAATTGTAAATATAAAATCATTGGCAGAAGTCCATATAAAACCTAATTAAAATTAAAAATTATATATTGCTTTTCCATCAAATTAACCTTTTATAATTTCAAACTAATCTTTTTTATCTTATAACTAAACAGTTTTTATTTTAAATTAACTTTCTTACCTTCAAAGTTAACTATTTTTTTAACTTTAAAATTAGCTCTTTTTAATTCCAAATGAATTTTTTCTTTAAAACATTAAAAAAACCCTAGGAAATGGTATGAAATGTAACCATGTAAAGTAAACTTTCTGCACTTAAAGAAACTAAATATAAAATCATTGGGCCTTTAGACCATATAAAAATTAATTACAATTGAAATTAAAAATTATATATAGCTCAAATGGACCCTTTTTCGAATCAAATTAACCCTTTTTGGTTTGAAATAATCTTTTTTTTAGCTTAAATTCACCTTTTTGAAAATTAAAATTAGTTCTTTTTAATTTCAAATGAATCCTTTTTTTTAAACAGCAAAAAACCCTAGGAAATAGTATGATCGTTTTTTAATCTAAAATTATTGGGCTCTTAAACCTACATGTAATTTACAAGGGGACGACCAGGTTGGTGGTGTGGCGATTTGGGCAAATTTTTTTGATTCTACACTCCAAAATAACGGACACCTGTCCTCTATTTCTTGTGAATAGGCCATAGTTTCGCCAAAAAATTTTGAGTGTTGAAATTTTCCGTTTTTTAATATTTTTATTTCTCCGTTCTACTGAATCAAATCAACTATGAGAATATACCATTTTACTGCATTTTTATGTAGATTGCAATAAAAATATTGTAAAAGCTATCAAAGTTTATCAATAACCGAAAAATATTTAAAAACGAAGTCGAGTCATCAAATTTACTTGTCGTGATACTAATAAGAAATTTCGTTTTAGCACCTCTAGAGGCCCCTAAATATAAATTTATGTTTGAATTTAAATTTATAGAATTTTTGGGCCCTAAAATTTTTCCGATTTGAGAAGTCGTTCTCGGAATATCTGATTGAACGGCTATAATTTAAAAATGACTAAAACGATTTTAACGGCAAACAGACCATTTGAAAGAAGCTTGTTAACGACATATATACCATAAAAATAAATAATTTTTTTTAAAGAAAATACGTAAAATAAGAAAATTTTTTATCAGAAATATCCTCGTTTTTTAAATGGAAATAATAGTCCAATTTTAATGTTTGAAGCAGTTATATAATGCACTTGGCAAAAACGAATTATCAACCATGAAAATCGTTCTCCTAGTTATTGAGAAAAATGTTAGAACTTGCACTACGAATGTCAGTCATGCACAAAGGTCGTCGAAATTATCACTCAAAAAAATTAATTTATACCGATTTCCGCGAAAGTCAGTTTCTAAAGGTTTTATAACGTAGAATGACGACAACGAGGTCAAATGCAAATCTTTTTCAAATCGCATTATTATTTTCATTTAACAAACTAGATAAATTTCTTACAAAAATATTTTCTTATTTTATTTATTTTCTTATAGAAATCTTTTATATATATTTTTATGGTGCATACGTCGTTAGAAAGCTACGTTTCTCTTCTTAATATATTTTTAGCCATTTTTGAATTATAGACGTTTCGCTCAGTTATTTCTAGAACAACTTCTTAAAAATCTGAAAAAATTTAGTGGTAAAAAAAACGATAAATTTGAATTCAACAAAAATGTATATTTAGGGGTCTCTAGAAGTGCTAAAACGAAATTCAAAAATATTAGTTTCATGTAAATTATTTTTTATGATATAGTTTATTTGAACAATATTAGGTTTTTAGACGTTTTTGGATATCGATAAAATTTGGTAATTTTACTATATTTTTATTGCAATCTACATAAAATATGCAGTAAAATTATATATTCATATAGTTAATTTGAGTAAGTAGAACGGCGAAATAAAAATTAAAAAAAACGGAAAATTTCAACTTTAAATATTTTTTGGGCGAAACCAAGGTCTATGCACAAGAAGTGGGGATACGTGTCCGATATTTTGGAGTGTAGAATCACCAAAATAGTTTGGTCGTGACACAACCAACCTGGGCGTCCACTTGTTAGTTACATATAGTCACAAAAAGCTATAAAATAATTTTTTTTTTGATTGGCCTTATGATCTTGCATATTAGCCATAGTACGAATTCTTGTGTGTTCAAATTGGGGGTTATCGGGAAAAAAGGGCCAGAGGCGACGGTGGGAATCGAACCCACGACCGCGGCGTGAGAGTCTCTCATGCTAACCACTCGGCTACCGCGGTCCCCAAAATAAAATATTAAAATGAAGGTTTGCTATTTTCATTTGAGAAATGTGAGAAATTGTAGTTTTTAAGAGGCCAATTTACATTTTACATTAAAATTTATTTTAATGTATTTATTTTATTTAGAATTTATTTTTATGTATTGTTTTATTTAACAAATCTCAAATTAAAACAATAATGGTTTTTTATATGTAATTTTATAACATTTTTAATTTCGATTTGTAATTATTTTTTATTAATTCTAACCCATCCTAATTACTAACATAACCCTACCTAAACTAATGCTACCCTAACGTGATCTTGTACCTAACTCCCCTAGCCTAACCCGTTCCTAATTTTTCCTAATCCATAACTACCTAATTACTTAATAGTACGTACTTAATAAGTAATTATTGTTTAACTGATACTTCAAAACAGAAAACCGCTATTCAGATTGCTAGGAAATTTCTGATGTATGTGGTGATGATGCTTTAGAAGAAAGTACTGTCTTTAAGTAGTTTGCTCATAAGAGGCTTAAAGTCCTCACAAACATAGGTAATGTACCGCAGACCCTCGATAAGACGACATGCATGTATTGTTGAAAATAATAAGCTAAGCTGCATATTAATCCCGGGGCTCTGCTCCATCAATGTTGTTTCAGGTATTCTGACTGCAAAAACGGAAGGTGGAACAAAGAGCTGGATAGTCTGTTCTGCCTACTGACCAGGAGGTAAGTTGCTACAGGCCTTGTCCACCTCGATCGACATCATGGAACATAGTTGGTCTAAAAACCTGAAACTAATCAAAGGATGTGACTTGAATGCCCACCATATAGGATGGGGTAGCACGAACTAATGTTTCCTACCAACTAATAGCAGAGGTGAGGCAGTTAGGTTTCATTCGAAGACCAGATGGAACTTTTACAGAGACAACAGAAGAAACTCTGTTCATGGCAATTGGTAAACACTTTCCAGAGTCAATAATAGTACCCGGAGAGAAGCAGCCTGCTATTTCAGAGCGTCGGTGGTACAGGCTCTCCAAAGAAGACTGGAAGGAGGCTGGTAACGTAGCCCAACCAGAGAAAATTAGGTGGTCGGTTAATGGATTTCTCCCGTATAAATCCCCGGGTTTGGATAGGATATACCGTACACTATTACAGAATGGACAGGAAGTATTGATGCCAGCTTTGGTGAGATTTGTTAGGCCTCCCTAGCCTGGAGATACATTCCCACTGCATGGAGGAAGGTGAAGCTGGTCTATTTACCAATAGTGGTAGGTTCATAGCCAAACACCTAGTTCATACAGACCTACCAGTCTCTCATCGTTTATGCAGAAAACACTAGATAAACTGATGGATAACTATATTAGGGGCACAGCACTGAAAATAACCCACTCAGTGCTAGGCAATGTGCGTATCAGACAGGGAAGTCTACTGACTTGCCCCTGGATGACTTAAACAGGCTACTATCTAAGGCATTAAATGGCAAGGAAATACTCTTATCGTTGTTCATGGATGTGAAAGGGGTAAGGGTTAATGACAGGATAGGCTTCATATTCACTCGTGTAGTCACTTCAGCAGTATATATACTAAAATTGGAACGATAGAGAAATGATTGGGATGGCCCTTGCTCAAAGATGAGATGCCATGATTTTGTTTGTATGTACTGGGTACACATGAAAATGTCCACCTATGTTAACTACTATTGGTCCTTATTTTTTACATTCTGTACATTTAAAATAGTCTCGCTCTGTATTAACATGTATATGTT